ACAACATATTTTGTGCATCTTTTTCACACAATTTTCATCGCATACTTACAAGAATGATAGAATATCATAAAATTCATTTCTTCATTTGTTAAACGTCATTGAAAACCGTGGTTTACTGAGTCAGTCGGTTTATTGAGTCAGTCAGTATCACCGTAGTTTTAACAGATTAAAATCCATGTCTGGAATTATTATTATGCCACAGGAATGTTTAATTTATGAAAACATTACTATATAAATATTGTTCGCGAGTGGAAACATCATTTACGTTATAACCCCGTAAATATTTCAATGTATCACTGACAGCTGTCATCGAATGTAAACATACGTGAAGTTGCTAACGTTCATTCAATAGCTTTACCCAAAGCACTAAAACTTGAACTTTTGTACAAAAGTGAAGTGACTAAGTAATAATTTCAATTTTAAATTTTTCTCTACAATATTAAAATATTAATCTCACACAAATTAAAAGTTTCTACATATTGATCTATCTATTTTTATTTTTTACACTTTTTAAGTGAATATTCGCTAATAAAAAAAGAAATATCCATTGGAATAATTCCATTACGATGTTAGATGGCGCTGTTAGTTGTGACATAAATGCTTTACGTATATCACATACAGCTAGTTTGCATCATTGCTATATGTTTAGAGGTGGTGAACACAATCGGTCGCCGCAGAATGCCACTTCGAGGTCATTAGGGCTGGTGGCTAGGTGATCCGATTCGGGGTGTGTCACAGCTTGTGTAAAATTATTAAATGTAAATGAATTGTATGAAATTATTCAGTCTGTGATTAGACGGTGAAATAAATAATAATAATAATAATAGTAATAGGTAATAGGCATTGCAATTTTTTACTTCTATATACATTTGTGTCACAAACACTGAAAAAACACATTTTCACTACCATAAAAAAATTCCATTTTCTCTCGTAAAATACCAAATATGTACATTTCAAAAAATGAAAAACTATTACAACAATTGTGTTCACTCATTATTTCTTTCGAAAATATTAGTTTCCACCAATCAAAGCTGCAGGAAATACACTTCTTATGTATCTTCCGAACAAAATTTGTTTTAATACATTCAAGTGTAAAAATACCGATTTACCACCAAACCCACATGAATTGACTGCTCAGTTATTGGTGGAATTCCGACATTTTTATGGAAAAAAATATAGTGTCCTAACATGAAAACATCGTCAGAGGCTTATTTTTTATGTTTCTTGAACAAATATGAACTCATGAGCATAAAAACGACTTTAAAAAAATCGCCGAACAAAGCGAAACACCTATTTGTTACTCGTTCAATTCGAAACAAATTGTACACTGGTGTGTTACGCCGACGAGACCGTTGTTACGTTTTGATCGGCGATTTTTTTTAACACTATGACTGTTCTTCATATTTGCAACATATTACTGTTCTTGGGGGACTCCATGGCCCCCAAGATACTTCATATGAAATCTGGACTGTTATAAGAGATAACAAATTAGTGTCTGAAGCAAAGTTGTAATACTCGAGGTTTGCTATAATTTTGTTGCAACGAATATTGCTTATCTCTTATCAGTTCCGCGAAAAACGCGAAAAAACGCGAAAATCGCGAAATTTTCCCACCTCGTTTTAGTGAAGCCGATAAGAAGTAAGAGACTTGCCTCTTCGACAGAAATGTAGAGCAGGTCGAGTACTACAACTTTGCCACAGACACCAAGTCGTTATCTTTTATCAGTTTCGCGGAATACGCGAGAAACCGCAGAAAACCGCGAAAAAACGCGTTTTTTCCTTATCATTTTTCACGGAACTGAATGTCGTTATCTCGTATCAGTTACGCGAAAAAATGATAAGAAAACATTCGCGTTTTTCACGGTCTTCTGCGGTTTTTCGAATATTCCGCGAAACTGATAAGAGATAACGAGATGGTGTCTATACCAAAGCAGCTTAAGTACTACAACTTCGCTACAAGCATCAAGTCGTTATCTCTTATCAGTTACGCGAAAAGCCGCGAAAACCGTGAAAAACGCGATTTTTTTCTTATCATTTTTTCGCGTAACTGATAAAAGATAACGACTTGGTGTCGTAGTAAAGTTGTAGTACTCGACCAGAGCTACAACTTTACCATAGACACCATCTCGTTATCTCTTATCAGTTCCTTGAAAAATGAGAAATTATGAATTCGCGTTTTTCACGTTTTCGCGGCTTTTCGCGTAACTGATAGGAGATAACGACTTGATGTCTACGGCGAAGTTGTAGTACATAAACTAGTCTACTACACTGCTACAGACACCAAGTCGATATCTCTCATCATAGTCCAGTTATAATATAAAATAGCCATGGGGCCCTGGAGTCCCCCAAGAACAACAGCGTAACATGTTTTGCGGCAGGCTGTATTTTACACATACTCACACATATGTATATGTTTTTTTTTTCATTCGTGTAGAGAAATGTTCAATCTATACAATGAGACTTAACTCCGGTTGGTTTATACACTGTTTAGTACTTTTATTCAACTTTAAAGTTCGCTGGGGGCCCTGGGTGCCCCAAGAACAATCATAGTGTTAAAGTCGTTTTTATGCTCACGGGTTCATATATCATTTTCCAGTCAAAAAGATCAAATTGAAAAATTCACTTCAATTCAACCTATTTTGAATTATGCAATGGCTTCAGATCGCATTTTTACCACTTTAAATCGTTTTCTCGTTGAAAATTGATTGGATATAGCCTTTTGCCAAGCATTTTAGACCGCCTTAACATAGTTTTGGTTGAATTTTAAATAAAAATTCACTTTTTTCATAAAAATCACATAAATATTGCCACGTGTTAGGGCGCTGCTCAGTGTACGCTATTTTGGAAAATTAATAGCAGCACTAGCTTGGATTATGAGGATCAATGAAAAAAAAGTACAAACCTTTTGCAGCGATTTATATTGCATCCACACAAATCAGAAAATCTATGTAGTTGGAGATGTTGGGAATTGTCGAAAAATCAATAAAATCATCAAAATTAAACTCATTTTCATAGAAATTATCGTATGTTTCGGCTTGACTTCGCTTAATTTTCAATTCTTAACATTGTTCAGTCATTTTTACAACGATTCATCGAAAAAATCACATTTGGTGGATACAAGTGGGCAAAATGTCCGAAAAATGTTAAAATTTTTCAGTTTTTCGACCATAAATCGCGGGGAATGCATTTTTTTCACTCACTCTCTTCTTCAAAATTATAGCCAAAAAAAATTAAACAACTCTCTAGAACACATGAACTCGAAAAAACCACATCCAGTCCACAGTTTGCATCATTGGATGATACTATTTCTGCTTTAATTTGCACGAAGATCGTTTTTGAGTAGTTCAAGCCTTTGATTTAAGCTTTTTGGCCATTTTTGAACCCGAGGGTTAACTTTTTAACTTTAATCCCCGGGGTTAAATATTAACTTTTAACCCTCGGGTTAAATATTTAACCACAACAACATAAATTGACCGTTAGTCTCACAAAATCAGTATCTTTTTGAGATAATATTTTACCGCTTTCTCTCCGATTGAATGGTCAACAAATTTTGTTTAATAGGCTTTTCCGCTCTTTGTGTGTTCATTCAAATCCAACCGGCAACTGAACTACGAACCGCTTTTGCTTGCTTGATACAAAAGCTAGCGTCTTCATGTTTACTAGTAATAGATGAAAGCACAAGGTGACTGATCGTATTCGTAGCAATGAACACATGCGCATTTGATCCGATTTAAAAATAGAAACATATGCATGAGTATAACTTAGACGATAAACATGCTGATTTAGAGCTGAGAGAAATCCATACTATGCTGGAAGATATTCTAAAAGTTGATATTTTGGACATCACCTTGTGTTTTGTCAATTTTTCCCATTTTCTTCATGGAAATTCGACTGAACGAGTACTAACAAACAATAGATCTTGACCCAATAAAATTTTTGAACGAAGAGACAACCTCATATTATGCCGAAACTTTAGAGAAAAATTGCCTAAATTGGAAAATGTTATTCTATAAGGAAGAATCATGCTCTCTTTTGCGCATCATTTTATGTCTGACAGGGAAGTTGAACGGTTCGTTGGAGTTGACACATTTCTTTCTTCTTACAGCTTTCATTAGGCTGGTGTATACTTCGTAAAAATGAAGCCCTCAATGCACCGCCCGCACCAAATTTTTGGAAAAATATAGAAGGTACAAACAATACTTTTGATACGTTCGATGGAGCCGTAAAAGATGTACGTATTTAATGAACATTGAATCAAAGGTGGATTTTTTTCCATTTAAAATGAACTTAAATCGTATTTCTCTCATTAGGGAATCGATAATCTTTCGGACAGTTTGAGAAATTTGATGAAAAGTATCAAGAAATGGTGGAAATAACTAAACTTGGGGGAATGCTGACGAATTTTTTCAAAATTCGAGTGTTCGTCTCCAATTCATTTACTTTGGAAGCTATTCAAAATACGAATGGAAATTTGAGTCATTCAAAAAAGCTATCGCACTTTTAACTCACCTAATCTGAACATCACATGTATAATAATTTCATCCTACATTTAGTTCTACACACGATAATGTTACATGACATCATAATTACATTATTTCGTCCATAAGCAAATAAAATAGTCTATTTTTGGGTTTTGAATAACTTTTATACACACTTTTTTCTAACGAATTTAACAATATGGATAAATAGTTGCTCAGTAAAAATGTGATTAAACTGTTTTCATTGTTGAGTCGAGACCTTTTTTTTCGATGTTCCTCTTCAGCGTGAATAATCCCAATCTTTGATATAATTTAATGGGCATAGCAGAATATAAGTGAATCGAAATCATTTTATTGTAAGGATGGGATTCATTTGCATGAATGCAGCTGAGCGACTTATCAAATTTGATGTGTCATTATCATTTGTGGTTGCTTTTCCGCGCAAATTTTGCCACCTGAACAAAGACATTTAGAATTATTCGATTGCAAACAGATTTGATCAGATGTAACCCCAAGCGAAAATTCACATTCAATCCACACGGTTATTTGACACTTTGAAAGATGTCAAACGACTTCACACTCTACCATACTATAGCCACACTCTTCTACGTTCGAAACCGTATGAGGATAGTGCAGTTATAGCATGTATGCATTACAGCAACGTGGATTGAGTGTGAATTTTTGCTTTGAGTACAAACCTTTCTTTGATCAAACGTAACACACGACGATTTACTATAAACAAAATGAATATGAAAAGCCCTGAGAGACTGTTTAAAATGTCAGTTATCAAGAAGAGTGGACTAAAGTTGTCCATTAGATATGATACAATCTCCATGATCCAAATTAGTCCCATTACCAAAATCAGCCGCAAGTATAAAATGCAACTGAAATGAGACAATTCATTAATTTTCTCTTTTCAATTTGACTTCAGAAATCTTCTTACGTTTCCTTCTTTTCATTCAACGCTTTCTGCATTAGAGAACCATCCTCTTGTGATCGTTCAGCGGCTATATCTTGTTGAATTTTACGAATTTTCAATGTAATCAATAGAAAAAATACATAATTGATCGTGAGTGTGATGCCAATTGGGGTGTAGAAGTACCATAATATATCTGAAATCAGTGAGCTAGAGTTAAATCAGTTATTTTGCTAGTGATATTTACAGTTTTAACTGGATATGAAACAAGCGCCATCTCTGATTCCCGGTCGCATATTTGGTGGTAATTGTACGGTATTATCAAGTATGTAAATGAAGAGTATCAAAAGACATGGACCACCGAAGCCATATACTAAATATAAATAGAACTTCTTTCTTTCACTCATTTGTTTGAATCGATGCTTAGATCTACAAAGACATCATGATTTTAGCTGGGCTGTTGATAGGTCAATAAGTCTAGGCGTGATTTGGTTAGGTATTTGAACATAACTCACTGAAAATCCACCCAAAAGTCAAAGTTGAACACATTCAACCAGAAGAAAGCGGAGAAAAACGAAAAAGCTAAGAAATATCCAAACGGAATACAAGCAAATGATGGATAACCAAATGATGTTACAAAAATAACTAAACTATAACTAATAGCCAGGCAAATTAGGTAACAAATCAAGCAATTTGTTTGTAAATTTCGCAACTTCGGTATGAAAATGTAAGCCAATAATGTGGCGACTATGAACACTACAGATATCAGCATACCTATTTGGAATAAACGTTATGGATAAACTGAAAGTATTTGCTACTAGGATCAAATGAAATACACATACAAAAGTTTATAATTTGGTGACGGATGACATGATATTGATTCAGGTCATAGTCATCTCCTTCTAGTTCTATACAGGTCAACAATCTTAGGTCAACTTCATTAGTTTCAGCATTGAGTCCAGCGTGAAGACACGAATTTTGATGCGTTAATTTCGTTGACAAATTTCCGCGTGAAATTTCGCCTTTCTGAAGAATGTGGTCGTATTAAAAATAATAAGGTACGATTGAATCGCACAACATTCAATGGTCAAACACTGAAGACAGACATACAAATAGAAAAACGTCCTTACATGTGTTATCTGATAGTCATCATCAAAATATACGAAATTACACGGAATACCCTCGATATATGCAAAAAAACGCTCCAATGGTATTACTTTGGTTTCGTTGTTTTTGTGAATTACTTCGGCCTCAAATTTGTTCCCTTTGTCGTGATCTTGACACACTGTGATATCCGTATCATCTGTATTTAGTGTTCCCAAAGGACAGCAAAGCCGTACACACGGTTTGATATTACAAATACACCCACGAATATATGGATCAACCGTGATCTGGTCCGTTCCATCTCTTAGTAGCACATAATTTATTTCAGCATATTGTTTTCTTGAATATACGAGACCGTTGAATTCGATACTATCATCATTTGCTAACCGATTTCCATCGGTTATATTTATCGAATCCAGGAAATGGCATGGCAACTCGTCCAATGCAATGCTCAAATTCACTGACAACAACATTCCAATCAAAACAATAATCACGCCCATTTTACTCGCTATTCTTTCAATATATTGTTATTTTGCTTGAAGGGCAACTTCTCAAAATGATGTTCTGACTCTGCAAAAAGATGATTACGGTGAAAAAGACAAGTTTTCTGAATTTGTTCTTATATATAATTCCCAATTTGGATATGCTATGACTCTCACGTGGTGAATGAATTGACTAACTTTTCCTGTTCAATTACGGTAATTGAATTACCTAATAATCACACTCGAAATTATCACTTTTTCTTAAATATCAACTTTCCGAATGGCTGTATGGTTTTCGAACGAACAAATCGATTTACAATAAACCGAGTGGCGCATCACTTCTTTGACAATAAATATCTCATACAAGTTTGATTCAAATTGCGACCATCAACACCGATAATAGGAAATGGCGATAACGATTTTTTGTAAGATTTTTCACTCATTTGTTTCATTTCTTGCACTGAACTTAATTGAATTTCATGTTTACTCATTTACAGGGAGTGCCCAATTGAAGTGATGCCGAAATCTGATTCTGGATTTTTTTTAAATTTATTGGCTTACACTATTGCTCTAAAGGCGGAAAATATTGGAAAATTGATCAGGCTTTCAGATGATTTTGTAAGATTTTAATTTTAGTTCCACTGGATCGAGCAATGGCCTCAAGCCCACTATTTATTTAAATATGTTTGCATGAAAATCATGGTTTTAAAAAATGTGAACTTTGGGAAGGAAACTAATATAGCTAGGGTATCAACAAACCATGGAAGTGATAAGATTCTGTTTCGTCGAATATTCAAAAAGAACTCCAGTCATTTTTGGACCATATTCACCCATGCACAACTCCTTTTGAAGGTCGGATAATCCCGAAACATCGTTTTTTTTCAATATTTTTTTCATTCGGACCCCAAAATGAGAGAAATCGTGAGTCGTAATTTATGTTTGGATAAAGATTGGACCATAGGGGTATTGCAACGACCATAAAGTATATATATTTCATCAAGTTTATCAAGCTCTTTTTCCAAGTTTATGCATAGTGTCGAACTTATGTTCAAGCTCTACCATCTAAATGTACAGTAAAATAATTTACGGGCACGACGTAAGATGGCGTTTTTTCTGGTCAAAAAAGTTGCAATATCCCTTTGGATTGGACCAAGCAATTGTTGTTCCAAAATATTTCAATAAAATACCTAAATTTAACCCATATCGGAAGAAAGCCGTGCTTCGGTGAAAAAAAAAACGACTTTTTGGAGCTCATTTTGGTCGACTATTGGCTGCCGAGTTTGAAGAACAGAAGTTCCACAGAATTCCTGAAGCTTATTACAAGGCTCTATCATCCCACAAAAATACCAAAATATTGGTATCCCAATGTGCAGAATGAGAACTAATTTCAAACACCCACATTCGTGCAGAGCGCATGATGTTTAATCGTAGTCTTGAAATCATAACTCAATCTAGTGGAACTGTAATTCAAATCTGAAAACTGATTCTAGAATTTGGAATATTTTTCAACATATTTTTTCTTAAGAGCAATAATGTAAGTCAACAAATATAAAAGTTGTAGAGTTTTGTTTTGTTATCACTCCAATTGAAGTTGAAGCCACCCTGTATAAACGCCCACATCGAAAAAATACCGAGTAATTCACTTATTTGGCTAGTTGTATTCTTATAGCCAAAACCGAATTTAGATGTGTATTCTTCGAAAGCACCGAATGAACTGACACAATAATAACGATCTAAGCACATCTAATATACAACGTTCAAGCGCAACAAGTTCCATCTTTCGGCTTAAAATGTGCTTTCAAAGCTTCTTTGTGACCGGTTTAAGCGATCGTCTACAGAGTATGCTGCTATTGGTGAGAAGTACATGTGAACATTATAATGTAGATACTGCAATATATAGGGTAAGGTGGGGCGAATCGTTCCATTTTTTTCCTAAATTAATATTTCCGTAAAAATTTAAAAAAAAATCATGAAAATTTGGTTTCATCTTGTAGCTAGAGTCAATACCTAACTTTTATAGAAGAACACTTTTTGATTTGACCTCTTTTCGGGTCTGATATTGCCCTTCGGGCGAGTGCCTTAATTTCGGGCTCTGCAAAAAAAGGTGGGGCGAATCGTTCCATCACATGGGGCGAATCGTTCCAGCCGCATTTTATAAGTTTATCTTTGAGAAATTGTTTATTTTATGATTTAATTATCTTCAGATTTGAACATTTCATGACTCTCAAAAAATAAAAGAAAGCTAGTACCTAAAAGTGGTAAAACGTACCCATTAAATGTTAACAATTTTGAACGTATATCAGTCAAAATTGGGTAATTTTGAAATCTGAAACTTTCTGTCGATAGTGCCCATTTACATTGTTCCATTCACAGATATGAGTTATAAGTAGTTCTGAGTGGTTTATTTATCGATTTGTTCAAACAAAAATACCATTTTTAGGGTCATCAGTCTGAGGCTCATGGTGCGACATGGGAATATCAGAATGGAATTAAAATCAATCCGAGGCTTTGCCCCAACATGTCAAAACTTTTACCGTTTTTGAATTTTAATTATCTTGTCAATTGTTTGAGTTATGCCGCGCACAAGAAATGCGAACGCAGACTCGTACGACGCCATAAGCACATCACAGTTTTGGACATAACTTCGTCAAAAAATAATATTTTTGAGATCTGGAACTTTTGATTGACCAGTATAAAGTCCATCTACATTGCCACATTCACAGATATGAGTTCTGAGTGACCAATTAGCGGTAAAACGCAAAAATGAGGTGGAACGATTCGCCCCATGTGTTTGTGGAACGATTCGCCCCACCACTTATCTTTTTCTCCGGAGCTTGATTCAACCGCAAATATTAAAAATATTCAAAATAAACTTATTTCCATTTGAAAGAGCTCGTCTTAAGCTACAAAATACACTCACCAGTTTTCAGAAAATATTAAATTATAATGGTCAAAACTCAAATTCTGTAGACACAAAAAATTATTTCTGCACTAGCACAAAACACGTTTTTGCCTGTAGACTCTCTGTACTTGACTGAAACATGTCAAAACCATATTACCAAATGTCACGTTTTCGACGCTCTTTCAAATGATATATAGGTTTAATAGTCTAAGTATTACCTGTGTCGAGAAAAGGCCGGTGGAACGATTCGCCCCCTGGAACGATTCGCCCCATCTTACCCTACCGTTGAATTTTCTTCCATTTTCTACGTCGATTCATATTGAAACAGTAATGATGTAGACGTGTGATTGAAAGTAGGATATTAATTGATACTTTGCCGTGAGAAGAAAATGTTCCTAAAGTTCGAAAAACAAACTGACGGTTTGCTGATAGATTAACTTATTTAAGTTCAACATACAATTCATCATCAGGGCAGATTGGATGAAGAAATCATTTGAAGTGACAAATGTCAGTCACATAAACTATGTCTTACAAACTTATTCGATAATTGGAGCTCAAAATAATTATATTGCATCTGGAGTTCATTCAAGTTCATTTGGACTTTCTCTGTTGTCATTTGTATCGCCGTACTCGTAACTCATGTTGTTGGTTTTGTATTGCCTTAACCCGATGCGACCAGTGAAGAAAAATAATCAGTTTTTCAGTAAAATGAAACAAAAACTGAATAAGAAGGACAAATGTAACGTTGTGAGCGCTTGTAGCAGGCTACCATATCAACAAAATGGCATATGCCATATATCCGGGAAAATTCGTATTTCGAAGTTCTGGGCATAGGCAATTCATCAATGAACGGAATTTGTACGAAGAGTCGCATTCTACGATGAAATTGCTGTCAAAAATACGCATCTACTGGCTGAAAAAGGCTCACGAAAGACCATATCCGCTCAATTTTCGACGAGCAATCGATTAGAAGTGGTCACAATGCGATCTGAGGGCATTTCATGGTCGAAAAATAGGTCGGATTCAAATGAATTTTTCAACTTGCTCTATTTTCACTGAAAATGATGTTTTTGTTCGGAAAACACGTGAAATACACATTTGACGACATTTTGGTTTAGAAAACTGCTATTTTTTCGTGAAAATAATGGGAGTCCACGAACACTTGAATATCCATTTCGTTGTCATTTTGGTCATAAATCGGCATTTCGGCATCTGAATGCATGAAATTGAACTTTTGCTCGGGGGATACATAAAAAATGCACTTTCCAGAGCTTTGGTGGTTGGGAACTAATATTTTTTAATGAAATAATGAGAATCCGTAATCGTTTCAAGACTCTTTTTTTTTTGGTTATTTTGAAATTTAATCATATTTTGTCGCATTTTATAATGTGCAATTAGAGGAAATTGGGACTTTTTCAATGGTAGTGGAAATAAGATAGTGCAATCTCCAGAACTTGTGAAATTAGAATGCCAATGTGTTACCCAGAAAATTGCAATTTGCTGATAATAAGACCTTAAAATAGACATACTTCTGGTAAAAATGTATTTTTCCAAAAAAATCCTTACAAAAGTAGTGATATCAGAAAAACCTCTAGACGAGATTGAAATGGAGTGACGCTCCGTGCGTGGATTTACCACTCAAAATGACTGATATCATTCTGAGTGATGCTAGAACGCTGTGCACTGGGAACGAAGTTCAAAAATGTTTTTCGCATTCACTATTGTGAAAATTTATTTACAATAAGGAAAAATATCGCGTCACGACTTTTGAATTTAGTCTCCAAGTCAAGCTTTAAAGCGTTTTGCCGTCCAAAAGTCGTGACGCAAGATATTTCTCCTTATTGTAAATAAATATTGTCACAATAGTGAATGCGAAAAACACTTCTGAACTTCGTATCCAGAGGTAATACAGCGTCAAAGCGTCACTTAAAATGATATCAGTCATTTTGAGTGGTAAATCCACGAACGGAGCGTCACCCCATTTCAACCTCGTCTAGAGGTTTTTCATCTGATTTTTATTAAATTAGAAATTGGTTTAATCTTTCTGATCGATGTCAATTTTTCAGGTGGCGAAGAGCTGAACTAATTTAGCTGAATAATCGGATGATTTTTTTTTTATGCCCAATGACCATACTCGATTATCGATTAATATTCTGTCAAAAAAAAAACTCCAGTTGTCCATTTACCCACTGTCACCACCAATGTAGAATACTACAGCCCATTATTACGCTTGCATCGTCATAGTTTCCTTGAACCCAAAACATTTGTTATTTTTAGGCCCTGAAGAAGAGTCGCAGATGACTTGAAATGTCTGCATTTATTTCAAATAGATTATCGATTAGAAGAAAAACGCACACCACGGAGGACCTTTAAGCTTTTGATCAGAACAAACGCCATCTAACGATGACATTATAACTAGTTTGACCGTATTACTTTTCCGTACACAACGTGTCAAGGGAAAGTATAGGAATTGGTCCCGAAAACTTTTTTCGCAAAATTAGCTTAGATCATCATAAAAACTCATGAAACGCGTAGAAAACCACTTTTTGAGACACTTTTCCGTTCGTGTGCCATCGTTGTCGTCGTTGTCGTAGCTGTTTGTAAACACGATAACTCAAAAAATAATTGAGATAATCAAAATCTGGAAATAACAAAAGTTTTGTATCCAAAAAACTTAGTTTAAGTTCGAAGATGAGCCATTTTCGATTTGATCCAGGGGTACTTGCCCTAAGAAAAACCTCAAAAAATTGACACTTTTGTATGGGAGGTACCCGTAAATCGACTCCGATTGGCTCCAAACTTTCTGAGATTTCATTTTTTGGGAAAAAATAAGATTCTGAAAGTTTGAAACCAATCGGAATCGATTTACGGGTACCTCCCATACAAAAGTTTTGAAATTTTGACTAAAATTACCGATTTTTGGACAATTTTGTATGGGAGGTACCCGTTAATCGATTCTGATTGGCTTCAAACTTTCTGAGGTTTCATTTT